TTTAAGGTAATTACGGTAGTTCCTGCCTGAGACCAGCACAGTTCAGCAAGGTGGAGCTGAGCCAAGGTGCTCCTGCCTCAGAGCCATTTGGTGCCCCTGAGCCACACACAGTTCCAGGCACACAGCAGTCCACATTGTCATCAAGCAAGCCATAGCACTTTACTCCAAATGCTCCATTCAAAAGTTCTGTCTCCCGCAGAAGCCAGACTGAGATCGCGATGGTGGCACAGCCCAGAAAGCCGGCATTTTAAAACAGCCAGTTTTTTCCTGCTGCTGAGTCAGGACAATTTCTTTGCGGCACGCAACCCAGAAACAGCAAAAAGCTGTCTTAAATTCTCTCTCTCTCCTTTTTAAGCCCTCTCAGGTTTTTAAGTGGATTTAGCCCATCACGTCTGGGCGCCACCAGGGTTTCCTCAAGTCAGGGACCCCAGCCTAAGGGTCGCATTACCACAAAGGCTGGGCCTTCCTCATCCATTGCTTATTCAAGACAATGTCCTACAGGCCGATCCCACGGAGACATTTTCTCAGTTAAGATACTGTCTTTCCAGGTACGTTAGGCCGAGAAAAACCAGATAGTGTGTGAGTGCTTGTTTGCAGGCATGTGTGTACAACATGTATGCTTGGTGCTTGTACAGGTCAGAGGGGGTATTTGATCCCCAGGGCCTGCAGTGGGCCATCCCTCTGACACCAGCCTTCCCGCTGGTGACAGAGACTTTGTAGTAGTCTAGGAAGCATAGGGCGTGTGACCGTTGCTGTAGGACTGTGCTACACTGCTACCCTTGACCAGGAAACAGAATAAGGGAGAAGAGAAGCAAACGACCTTTGCCCTCCAGAGTCCGCATAGCCTGGGGTTTTAGGAGCCCCAGAGCAGCGGCTCCAGGCCTCTCTAGGCCAGCAGTTTACAAGGCCCGTGCGCTGGGTTAGATGGAACTGGATGTTCCAGTCTCTTTGTCTTTTTCTCGTTTACTTTTCGAGGCTGAGTTTCCGAGTTTCTCTCTAACTTTGGCCGGATAGACTAGGATAGACCAGGCTGGAGACCCGCCTTCCTTTTCCTCCCAGGTGCTGAGATTAAAGGCGTGCACCACCACCACCTGGCTCAGTTCTTAATACACAGAAGTTTCATTGATTTAAAGACCACTTACCCTTCCAGCAAACCATGCCTGCCTGCATGGACAAACGTTTATAGGAAGGGGCAGGGTCAGGTACTTTACTGTCCACCTTACAACTGTCCTTTCATGGGAAAGATTTCTTTTTACATTCCTAGTAACGTTGCCCCCCCCCCCCCATCCCTTTTTTCTTGATCTTAGGCAGGGTCTCACTGTGTAGCCCCGACATTGCTAGAACTCACTACATTACCAGGTTGGCTTCAAACTCAGAGACCCAGCTGCCTCTGGCTCCCTAGTGCTGGGTAAAGGTATAGTGATGTGTTGCTTTTGAACGAACAAATAAAGCTTGCCTGAAAATCAGAGTGCAGAGCTAAACCATTAGTTGGCCATAAAGGCCAGGCAGTGGTGGCACGTACCTTTAATCCAAACACTCAGAAGACAGGCAGATGGATCTCCGGATCTAGACCTCCTCGAGTTCAATACCACCCTGGGCAACACAAAATTGAATCTGTCGAAAAGAGAGACAGAGCTCACACAAAGGTGATCCCAGCCCTTGGGATCGCACACCTTTAATCCTAAGAAGGTGGAGGCGGGTATATAAGGTGGGAGGGGACAGAAGCTCAGATGTTGTCTGAGGATTCATGGAGATGGGATGCCCATTTTGTCTGAGCATCGGTAGAGGTAAGAACTCTCTAGTGACTGACTGTTCTGCTTCTCTGACCTCTCAGCTTTCACCCTCTAATATCTGACTCTGGGTTTTTATTATTAAGAACAATTAGAATTTGTGCAGCATAAAGGAACGTGTCTGGCTAATTCTGCATCTTTCTTTTTTATTTTTACTTTGTATTAGGACTCTCCTGTTTTGTCCTTCTGCTTGTATCTTACAGGAATTAAACAAGTGCAGACTATTGCCTGCTGTAGGAGGCGGGGAATGCAAACTAAACTGTTTGTAATTTCATTGGAGAGTGAATAACGAGCTGGATCATTAGGTTTCAAACCAGGAGGTGCCTACTAACATATCAGAGCAGACCCCGGCAGATCCCATTCTCCCAGCATCCCTCAGTCCCTGCCTGTTACAGGGTCGTCCTGACCAGCACACCTGGAGCCTACCCAAACTACTCTGATTCTTATGGAACCCAGCCATTATGCCAGCCCAATTTACCCTTTGACCTCTTTGCCTCCTGGCTCTCCCTCTCCTCTCCCCGCTTCCACATGGCCCAGTTCAGCCTGCTGATCATGTCCGCTACGCACTTTCCCAGATGTCTCTGCCTCTAGCTGTGTTCTCCTCTTGTCTACAGTAAGCTTTCTCCATCACATCTAGGAGGATCATAGTCTTTTTTCCTTCTTCCTACTTTCCTTCCTTCCTTCCCTCCATCCTCTTCTCTCCCTCTCTCCCTCTCTCCCTCTTCTCTCCCTCTCTCCCTCTCTTTTCCCCTCTTTGGTTTCTTAAGACTGTTTCTCTGTGTAACAGTCCTAGCTGTCCTGGAACCTGCTTTATAGACCAGGCTGGCCTCGAACTCACAGGGATCCGCCTGCCTCTGCCTCCCGAGTGCTGAGATTAAAGGTGTGCGCCACCACCGCCTGGCATAAAATCATTTTTAATTGGTAGGGATAAAGGAATTCTCGAAAAAGGAACATAATGATTTTGGCAGACTGAGTTGGGTTAGGCAAAGGCATTCATAAGTGTAATTAGCAGAAATGTTGAAATATTTATTACATTTGAGCAAGGAATCTGGAATGGCATTGGTAAGTAGAGGAAGAAAAGACAGAAAAGTTAAGTACTGACCTCTTAAAGTCTTGAACAGCATACCAGTATAACAGAACTGAAAACTGCAGAGAAAACAGTGAGTTTCTGGGCCTTATTTGGAAAAAAAAAGCCTTTGCTTTGCTTGCTTTTGTGTGCAGTGTAAACGGCTCTGCCAGACCTGTGGGAGATGCACTCAGTCGTCCACACGTCAGATACGTAGGAGTGTTCCAGAGATGACGGCCATTCTCTACCCTGCAGTCCTCCAAAAAACATATGGGAGAACAGAGAAATGTCTGGAGGTCCCCTGCTCTTGTGTGAGGCGCAGCTACACCCTGTTTTCCCAAGCCTGCACTTTATCTCCCCAGTCTGTGTGGTGGGGCTTCTAGGACCTGCTGACACCAACCGTGTTTTCTTCCTTTAGTTAGACAGAAACAAGGAGAATTTGTTTAATTTGTTCTAAGCAAAAGTGATGTGATTAATTATTTTGAAGAGATTTAATTAGTGTGTTGCCCCTTTGAGACACTCACAGTTTTAGCATTTTAAAAACTAATAAGCAGACGAGTGGGTTTTGTTCGGACGTTTTCATACATATGGTTTTGTCGATTCTCACCTGTGATGTCGCTTCCTCCCACACTAACCCTCTTCACCTTCCTGTTGCCTGGAAAGAGGATGAAAGATGATTTGGTTCTAAGTACCTTCAAGAAACGAAGGTGTGCAGTTTGGCAGGGACTGGCTAGGCAGGATTGGAGAATGTCCTTAATGACAACCGTGTAGTCACAGGAGACTGTAGGTGAGACAGAGCTTCATTTACAGAAAAGTCACACCACTCCTGTGTGGAAGACTTGCCAGGTGTCCTCAGCTCCTGCTGGTGCAGGAAGATGAAGGTCAGCATCAGCACCACCTTCTGAGTCCTGGCTGGACTGTAGAACAGGTTCAGATAACACTGGCTGATTCAGACCACCTGAGGGATGAAGAAGGCCGAGTTCTTCCTAGGTGACCCGTAAAGAATGTTCTCTGAGGCGGGACATTGGCCACACCTGTGCCCTCCAGGGACCGAAGTGCTGGAGGCTGGAGCTCAAGCTCCTCCTGAGTCTTTTCTAAGCCACTCTTCACCTGGGAGGGGCTCACGTGGTCAAAACACCACTGATGCTGTCGGGCCACGAGGCCAGGCCAATGCATGTGGTGTCATAGGAAGCTGTGAAGTCCCTCCACAGAGTCTCCAAGAAGCAGAAGACCATGGCTATACTATAAATGCAGAGGCGTAGGGGCGTGCGTGAGCCCTTTGGCTTCTAATTCAGTTCTGGTTCCTAGCACACACACAGGACTGTGGATTGCTACTAATTCTGTGAGTTTACCCTGTTATAAATAAGCCTCTTATATACTCCATTCTGGGCTAGTGTGGAAATGGTCTGCTTATTGCCACAGTTTATAGTAATATAAACTAGTGACAGCAAGGCCATATCTTTGTGTGTATGTTATGTGTGTACACATAACAGGGTGTGTGTGCTTGCTTTCAGAGCAGAACTGTGCAGCCGGTCTGCTCCAGTAAAGATAGTTTTCTGTAATTCGAGTTAACCCTGCATTTTGTGACATGAAATGAGGGAAAATTATCATTGAAATTAAATGTGTGTGATAAATTTTGATCTGTATTGAGTGCTCAGTGAAAGAAATGTAGAAATTTGACCTAAAACTGAGAAAGGAAAAGAAAAGGGAATTTTTTTTCCTGTCATCATGATTTTTGTGTGTATGATGTTCATTTTGTTTGTGTTTTTGTTCTTTTTGGGGTGATCAGGTGTCACTTTGTTGTCCTTGCTACCCCGGACTTCACTGGCCTCCAGCTCACTGAGATCAGAGGCGCGGGTGACCACGCTCAGTCTTCTTATGTATATGTCTAGGAATTGAGCTAACGTTCATGGAGAATAAAGAAGATTTCTAACAGTTTTAAATATTTTTTGTCTTTTCAGATAAAATCAAAGACAAAATTAAAGAGAACGACAAAGAAAAAGAGAGAGAAAAAAAGAAACACAAAGTAATGAGTGAGATCAAGAAGGAAAATGGAGATGTAAAGATTCTGCTGAAAAGTAAGTTTGTTTCAGTGAACTTTGTCTGTATTAATGTTCAGTACACTGGTCAGCCAGGTGATTGAAGTAAGGAATGCTATCTGGAAAGCTTTTTCCTGAGAGTGAAGTGAAGAGCAGCCGTAGCGCTGGGCCTGTAGTCTGCAGGCTGCCATGCTTTGGGTATGGGTAAGCTCATATAAAAACAGGTGTGTAGATTGGTGTATGCATTGATATAATTTGGAATAAAAGGCCGCAGTAACCTCTGGCATGAGAGGGATGGTGACGACTGCTCTCCTACAGATTACAGCAGAATCGCAGAGCAGGGCTGAGAGGGACAGTTCACCCTGAGCTGAGCCACAAGGGGCGCTGTCTCCTTTTCTTCCTTGCTTGCTGAAGAGTATCTTGTTTTTGTTTTTCTTTTCAGGATCAGGTTTCTCTCTTTAGTCCTGGCTGTCCTGGATCTCACTCTGAGGCTGGGTTTAAAGAAAGGCCTCTGCAGCGCAGTGGTGGCGCACGCCTTTAATCCCAGCACTTGGGAGGCAGAGGCAGGCGGATCTCTGTGAGTTTGAGGCCAGCCTGCTCTACAAGAGCTAGTTCCAGGACAGGGACAAAAAAAAAGGAAGGAAGGAAGGAAGGAAGGAAGGAAGGAAGGAAGGAAGGAAGGAAGGAAGGAAGGAAGGAAGGAGAGAGAAAGGAAAGGAAGGAAGGAAGGAAAGAAAGAAAGAAAGAAAGAAAGAAAGAAAGAAAGAAAGAAAGAAGGAAAGAAAGGCCTGTGCTATGTGTTCAGTCAGTTCAGTTTGTGCTTGTACATGGGAAAAGGTAGGGAGAAGAATTTTGGGGTAGTATATTGGACAGCAACATAACAAATTCTATAAAAAATCAGAACATATCTTAGAATAGAGATAAGAACAGTCTCAAATTCACTTAGGTGGTTAGGTATGAATCAGTGACGTTCTTTTGTTAGGAAGCTGGGAAGGCATTGGCTATTCTGTTAGTTTGATAGTTGTTAAAAAACAGCTGGGGATGGCGCACACCTGTAATCCCAGCACACAGAAGGTAGAGGCAGGAGGATCTCTCTGAGTTTGAGGCTAGCCTGGTCTACAAAGCCAGTTCCAGGACAGACAAGGCTGTTAGTTGTTTATCAGAACCCTTTGACTTCATTAATTTCGGATTGGATTTGGGTAACAGTTAACATTTATATCCACAAGGAAGAAAATAACACTCTCCTGTAGCTGGTGTCAAACACAGTAACGAGGTTTTATTACTTATGGAAATGTGGACTCTTCATTTCATTCTTTGTCATATTTACAAATATTCTGTTCCTTTACATAATAAACTTTTGTACAAGTCAGATGTTTTATTCATAGATTTATCTTATGTCCGTGTGCCTGAGTATACGTGTATGTTCATCACATGCATGCAGTGTCTTCGGGGATCTCCTGGAACTGGGGTTACAGGTGGCTGCGAGCCACTCAGTGTGGGAGCTGGGAACTGAGCCCAGGTCCTCTGGAAGAGTAGCAAATGTTCGTAACACTGAGCCAGCTCTTCAACCCCAGGATGTTTTTTTCCTGTAATATTCTTTACACCATAAAGACACGTATCCCCAGTTAGGTGATGACTTCTTGGTTAATGTTTTCAATCCCTTTGTTCTGTTTATTTTGTCCCTTTGCTTTTGTTACTGTTGTTGTTTTATTATTTTTCTTTAAATTTTTATTTACTTATTTTATTCCCTCCCGCCCACCTGCCCGCCTTTGGAGCTCTTGGCTAAAGACATGTACCTTCATGCCGGCTGTAGTTGTATCTATTTTTTAAACTTTGTGTGTATGAGTGTTTTGCCTGCACATGTAAATATGAGCTCTGTCTGTGCCTGGTGCTGGTGGAGACCAGAATACAGTGTCAGATTCCCCGAAACTCGAGTTACTGCCATGTGAGTGCTGGGAGCTGAACTCAGGTTGTCTGCAACCACAGAACCATTTCTCCAGTCCCCTGGGTTTCACACTGGATATGCAGGAATGGCCTTGCCCTTCTGACCTGCTCTCCACGGCCCAGTGCTAGGATGAGGGGCGGGCACACCACGCCCAGAATGTAGACCTCTGAGTTTGGGCTCGAGTAGCTGGTGTCCTCCATACGCCAGTGTTTTCCTAGCTGTACCCTACTGGCTCAGCCAGATACTTGTTTAGTGCTTTATTTGGGTGTGCAGTGATACACATTTATGCTATTAGAGCAGCAGTCTGTGGCCTCAGAATACTTAGGCTCACATAATTTTGGCAACCAGATCCTTAGGGATGGTATTTATGAAAATATCCCTGTGAACTGAGAATTTTCTAGGAATATACAGTATTTACCTTGATTTTGAAGTGACAGAAAATTTAGGAGACATTGTGAACTGAATATAGGTGGAACCAGCGATGCAAACAAAGAGAATGAAGTAGGTTTAGAACTAATTTGTAACCTTTGGGATGACCAGGAAACTTTAAGGAAGTGGTTACTGTGCAGTGGAGGTAATATTAATACTGCTGTGCAGATTGTGTGAGTAAAAGTGTGGGATGTCAAATTCAGCAAGTAGATGTGAATATCGGAAACATCTTTGAAGGAATAATTTTGGGATCAAAAAGGAACAAAACCGGTGCTATCCTTCCTCCTCAGTCTAGAGTGTATAGGCACTCACACTAGTGACAGCAGGATTCATTTGGACCAAGTGTTGTTGAGCATCATGTGGACGCTAAGGGAATCGAGTCGTCGGTTGATGCTCAGCTTGTTAGAGGCAGTTACTCTTAGGACTCAGTGTGCTACAGTTCTCTCTTTGGCATCTATCTTATTTTCTCCTCATAGGTTTCTTCTGTGGTACAAGCCGTAGCATACAGATACTTGAAAATGTAAACTAACTCCCTAGCTTACTAACTCTCTTACGGATCTCACTTCCTCTGTGACTTCTGTAAAACTGTCAGGGAGACGGAAGTTAATGCGCAGTGCTCTCTGAGAGAGCTCAGGTTCAGGTTCCAGCACGGTGGCTCACAGCCGTCTGTAACTCTAGTTCCAGGGGATCCAGTGCCTCCTCCTGACCTCCTCGGGCACCAAGCGTGCATGTGTGCACATACATAACATAGGCAGAACACTCACATACGTAAATAAATGGGTGTGTGTGTGTATGTGTTTGAACCTGAGCATGGTGGCTCACAACTGTATCCTATCCTAGCACTCAGGAGACTGAAGCATGAGGCCACCTTGGACAGGAGAGTGCGTTCTAGGTATTCTGGGTTATGTAAAGACCCTGATTTAAAAAGAACAAAAAAATGTAAAATACTAAAAAAAAAAAAAAAAAAAAAAAAAACTAAAACCCCCCAAAAGCTAAACAAAACAAAAAACCCAAAAAACAGAACGATACAAGGTTTCGTGTGACTGCACATATGTATGTATATATTAAATGTATGTGAAAAGATTTTAATAGGAAACTTCTAATGTTTTACAAAGTGGGATTACTTACTTTTAGTTTAAACAAATGCATTACATAAACTTATTTAGTGGGTCTCATCCTTTTCTACCAAATTCTGCCAACTATTTTTGAACATGTGCATATGTTCCAACCATCTTATGTACATACTTCATTAAAATTAAAATTAAGTTATAAGAAAATATTTTAATTTTGGTATTTTAAGATGTTATCATTATATCATGTCAAAGATTTTTCCTCATGAGCAAGTGTAATAGGTTAAAAACAGTGTCCTGGGGGCTGGAGAGATGGCTCAGAGGTTAAGAGCACTGCCTGTTCTTCCAAAGGTCCTGAGTTCAATTCCCAGCAACCACATGGTGGCTCACAACCATCTGTAATGGGGTCTGGTGCCCTCTTCTGGCCTGCAGGCATACACACAGACAGAATGTTGTGTACATAATAAATAAATAAATAAATATTTAAAAAAAAAAAAACAGTGTCCTGGGGTATTGCTAGCACACCAGAGATCACAGATGGGGTAAGTCATGGCAGGCAGAATGACCGCATTGTGTTGTTAAAAATCTTGTTGGACTATCTTTGGACCACCAGCCTGCAAATAATGACCCCGAGGCTTTTCCCCAGCTAACTCTTCTTATAACTTCACCCACATTTTCAATCGTGTTCTACCACGTGGCTCGATTACGGCACATCCTAGTGTGCTGGTGAAATCGCTGTCTAGATTCCTCCTCCTCTCTCTCCTGCCTAGCTGCTGGCCATCCAACTCAAACCAATCAGAAGGCGCCTTGGCAAAGACACTGTTGGCTAGGATGCAGATCTGTGTGAAGTGTCTTTCCCCTAAGCGTGAGACTCTGAGTTTGATCCCCAGAACCATGTTAAAGTTAACAGGCCTTGTGATGCCCTGTGGCTCTCCATGGCTGGGGAAGTGGGGCAGGAGGAATCCTGGCACTTTCTGGCCAGCCTTGCCTAACTGTGGGCTCCTGGTTACTAGGAGACCTATCCTGAAGGAGTTGATGGTGTCCTGAGGGGACACTAGGACTGTCCCCTGGCCTCCACCCGTGCTCATACCACCCTACCAACCCACGTAACCCCAGAAACTGAACCTGCTTCCCAGAGACCACAGACTGATTATTAGTAATTGTTGTTGCTTCTCTTTTCTGTGTGTGGTAATAGAATTGAATGTTATTTCCTATATCACATATGAAAGATGGTCTAGTTTTCCTGGGTTAAATTTATCTTTTATTTTGTTAGCAAGAAAGATATACTGAGGTTAGTGGTAGAAACTAGTATCAGTTAACACTTATTTTTATTTACCTATTTGTATATCTATCTTTTGGTTTTTCAAGACAGGGTTTCTCTGTGTAGTCCTGGGTGTCCTGGAATCTGTAGACCAGGCTGGCCTTGAACTCACAGAGATCCACCTGCTTTTGCCTCGGGTGTGCGCCATCACCACCCTGCTGCAGAGTTTTACTTTCAAAGCAGGTTTTTTATAATTTGCCCCCTAGAGCGTACGCTTCTGTTCCCTTTCCTCCTCCTGTCCTCAGCCCCTCCCCCACTCTTTCCTTCACTCCACCCCCCCCCTCCTGTTCTTTTAGGCAGGTCTTCCCAGGCTCTCCTGGAGATGGTTGTATAGCCCACGCTGGCCCAAGGCTTCTGAGTGAGTCATATGCACACCACCTTGCCTGCTATGTGGTGTTGATACGCTTGTTTCTCTTTTTTAGGGGGGGGGTTGTCTTTTGTGGGTGTCCCTTTATCTCTTGTTGAATGTGTGTCTTTGTTTTCGTGTTCCTGTTTCTTTGGCTTTCAGTTTGGCACCCCACTTTGACCCTGGGTCTTCATGTGTGGAGTCCTCCCGCCCCCCCCTCCCCCTGTCTCTGTGTCCTTGCCTGTTCTGCGCTCTGCACCCTTTTGCTCTGAGTCATACATAATTTGAGAGTTGTCCACGTTCCTTAGACACCAGCTCTAGTTTCTAAATTTATCTATTATTTTATTATATCAGAGTCAATGGGTTTTGTTAGAATTACAGGTTTAGAGTAATGCGAACTTTCAGTGTTTTTTACTGTAAGACGAGAGTGTTGATATTCAGAATGACATTTCCTAAGGTACTCTACAGTTTCTGTACATAGTTTTCATCTAGTGACAGCGTATGTGAAACAGAATCAGATTCCGTGGTGTTCTTAGAATCTTCCCCCTGCAAACTAGTTCCTTTGTTTGACTTAACAGAAAGAATATATCTTACCTCTGTTTTGGGGGGGTTTCCAAGCCTACATTCATGTTCTGTGAAGAGGTGGCAAGACTCTCAGGGCCCAGCATAATAGTTGTTCCTATGATATGATTTATTATTATGAAAGTATGCAAAGGAAAATAAGCAGAGAGAAAAGTGCATGGGACAATACCTGTGAAGCACAGGTTTCTGAGAATCCTCCAAGTGGAGTTAGATAGGATTATGCTTATTCAGTAAGTTGTGACAGCCTGCATAGAACGATTTGGACCAGAGAAGCTCATTAGTGACTCAGGGTTCTATTGGGAGTTGGTACATCAGTACCATCTGTCTACCGTGGACCAACATTTAGACTTCCAGAAGGAATACAAGTACTTAGCATATAGAAAACAAGTACTCAGCTTACACAGTACTGTTTGTGCCAGTGAAAACAGCAAAGTACATTGTAGGAGCCTTCAGAATTCAGGGTTCCAACTCCAGGCAAGGGCCAGCCCAACAGTCTTAGGTACATCATCTTTGCACACTGTAATAGTTAATTATAAAGTAATTTGACAGGATATTTTAGCTTCTTGATGCCCAACCTAAGAATCTCCTATTGATTAAGCTTGCCTTTTCAAATTGCTGTTATAATTTTTTTGTTCTAGGTAATAGACAATATGTTGTCTATTTTATTTCAAAGTAATATGGCTGGTTACAGGATATTTTTTAATACAAAAATGTGCTGTGTGAATTTAATTAGTTTTTAAACATTTTCATTACAGTGATGTTTATTTCAAAATAATTTTATTTGTACTTTTTGCATGTAGTTTCCATTATGGGGTTTGAGGTTGCTATTAATACCTATGCCCAAGCTGGGCAGTGGTGGTGCAGCCTTTAATCCCCACTCCCAGGAGGCAGAGATAGGTGGATCTCTGAGTTCCAGGACAGCTGAGGCCATACAGAGAAACACTGTCTCAAAAAACCAAAACCAAGCAAGCAACCTATACCCTTTAAATTATATTTGTAATCTTATTGATAGGCTTTTTTTTCTTATTTTATTGGATTATTCTTAAAACTTCTTTGCTCCGGGAGGCAGAGGCAGGCGGATCCCTGTGAGTTCGAGACCAGCCTGGTCTACAAGAGCTAGTTCCAGGACAGGCTCCAAAACCACAGAGAAACCCTGTCTCGAAAAGCAAAAAAAAAAAAAAAAACCTTCTTTGCTCTTTCATTTGGTTACTCTACTATCTTACTCTTTAAATTTTTGGTCATATTTGAATAGTTAATTAATTTTTGAGACAATATCTCATGTATTACAGGTTTGTCTAGTACTTAACAGGTAGCCAAGGACGACCTTGAATTCCTCTGCCCCTGAGGTCAGGGGCTGCAGTTATCTGCTCCCATAGCTGGCTTGTGTAGTGCTGGAAATTGACGCAGGCGCTTCTTACATCCCAGATGAGTACACAGCGCCTGGGCAGCACACAGTCCCCAGTTTCTGTTTTTAAATGCTCACCTGATCCGATTGTTTGTAATACATACCTAGACGGGATTTGTTTTCTCAGCCTGGCTAATACTTCAACCCTTTGATACAATTCCTTATGCTGTGGTGACCCCTAACCAACAAAACTATTTCACTGTTACTTCATAACTATAATTTTGCTACTGTTATGAATAGTAACTGTCTGCTATCCGGATATCTGATGGGTCGTCACTCACATTTTGAGAACCACTGACTTAGATGACTTGAATTTGATCCCTTGATGTCTGGAACCCGCATCGAAAGAAAGAAGCGACTCTGAAGGTTTTCCTCTGACTGCAACACACATTCTGTGGCATGCACCTGCAGGCTTGTGTAAGCATGTGTGCGTGCGCGCACACACACACACACACACACACACACAGACACAGAGAGAGACACACAGAGAGAGAGAGAGAGAGAGAGAGAGAGAGAGAGAGAGAGAGAGAGAGAAGAAACAATGTTGAATAAAGAAAAGATACTAGGTGGAGGTGGTTCTTTTTGAGATTCAAGTCTTTTGGGAATTGGCCTAAGAGATTCAGTTTTGAATTAGGTAGAACATCTCAGTCATGAAAAATAAAGAAATAAGAGACATGTGAACATGGAAAATGCTGAAAGAAGCCTTGTGAGGGCTGGAATGTGACTCAGGTGATGAAGTCCACCCACTGTGCAGAAGCCCTGGATCTTGTCCTCAGCACTGCACAACCCTGGGTGTGGTGGGCATGCCTAAAACCTCAGAGCTTGGGAAGGGAGGAGGAAGGATCAAGTTCAGGGTTATCCTAAGCTGTATGCCATGTTTGAGACTCACACACTCCCCCAAAATAGGCAGGTTGTTATAATTTTATCTGGACTATCCTAAGAACGGTAATAAAGCTGAGTGTAGCAGCTCAGGTTTGTACCTCAGCACTGTAGTCTCTGCAGGCTGAGTCAGTAGGGTCCTGATCACGTTCAGTGTTATCTTGCCTTAAAAACCAAAACAACAGAACTCCTCGGAAGGGGGCTAGGGAGATGAGTCATGGTTAAGATAGTAGCTGCTCTTTCTGAGGATCTGGGTGTAATGCCTCCTTGTGGAGGCTCACACCTATCTGTAACTCGGTTTCAGGGGCTCTCACCTCTCCTTCTAGTCTCCAAGGTCCAGATGCTTGTGGTACAAAGACATACTCAACACAAAAACCAAAAGGAAGAAGTAGAAACAAACAGTCTTCTTTTCTGAATTGTTACTTTGTTGTCCTTTTTATACTTATCTTAGGAAACTTTTTAAAAAAAAAAACACACATAGAAATAGTGTGCTAATTTCTATATAAGGAAAATAGAGAAATATTATTATATGTGTATATGTAAATAATTAATGTGTGTGCTTTTGTGCACATTTAAGTTTTCTAGTTAAATAGCCCGTGGACTTTCTGGGATTTTTGACCCAGGGTCTGCTGCTTTTGCTCACAGAAACTCTTCAGGATATAAGCTTGTATTGTCCGTCTACTCTGTTTCTCTCTTTACCTAGCATCTGGGCATCATTGGGACCTCGTGTATGAGGGCTCTGATTTTTGTCACCTCCTGTAGAGTTCCTGCTGAGTCTTGACTTGGAACTCTACACTGTCGTGGACTACGGTAGACGCAAGTGTAGCTTACTGAGGAGGGACTGGGGTGCTGTGTACTGTGCCCTGCTCTGACGTGGATGTCTCACTATGGAATGCTTCTGACTTTGTCATCCTCCCTCCCTCCCTCCCTCCCTCCNCGCCCCCCCTCCCTCCCTCCCTCCCTCCCTCCCTCCCTCGCAACTCTGAGTGTCCTGGAACTAGCTTTGTAGACCAGGCTGGCCTCCAGCTCACAGAGATCCGCCTGCCTCTGCCTCCTAAGTATGGAATTAAAGGTGTGCGCCACCACTGCCTTGCTGGATTTGATTTTTTAAAGCCTCAGACAAAATAAACTTTACAGTACATCCATGAGAACTGTCTGAACGGTATTGCTGACATTTGTTTCTGAGCCCCTGCTTTCTACCTTTGAAGAGCGCACTTTCTGAAATGCGCCCTTGGGTGAGCGCCCAGCCTGCTGTCTCTGTGTGTAAAGGCAGGGATGCGACAGAAAGACAAAGTAAAATTTGAATACAAAATGAATGTCAGTGATTTTTCACAAGTGTCAGAAGTAAATTTACTTGTAACAGAACAGTTTCTAAAAGCATGTTTTTAAAAACTAATTAAAATACAGAGTTTCAAAACAATTCTTTTCCAACAGGTGGGAAGGAGAAACCAAAAACAAATATAGAAGACCTACAAATTAAGAAAGTAAAGAAGAAAAAGAAAAAGAAACACAAAGAGAATGAAAAGCGGAAGCGTCCAAAAATGTATAGCAAGTCTATTCAGACCATCTGTGCAGGATTGCTGTCTGAGGCTGAGGATCAGGAAGCCAAAGGCGTCTTAAATGATCACATAAAGGATTCCATTGGAAAACATTTAAACGCCAAGAACTGTGACTCTAAGGTTTCTGGTAACAGTGACTCTCCGTTTGTCTTGTTGAAGGAACCGCGCGTTCAGCATAACCTAAAGAGGTTGGACACGCTGGAGTTCAAGCGGCTCGTTCATATCGAGCACCAGCCTAACGGAGGGGCGTCTGTGGTCCATGCCTACAGTAGTGAGCTCTCCTGCCTGTCTCCTGTGGAGATGCAGAGATTTGCAGAAGAATTTGTGGGGTTAGTGTTCAGTGAAAATAAAAGTTCTGCAGCTTTCTATGTCATGGGTATTGTTCATGGGGCAGCTGCTTACTTACCCGACTTTTTAGACTACTTTTCCCGTAATTTCCCCAATTCGCCAGTGAAAATGGAGATACTGGGAAAGAAAGACATAGAGACAACGACTATGTCCAGCTTCCATGCTCAGGTAAGAGGCTTTGAGTTGTATTGTAGATAGACTTGTGTTTTTCCTCTTAATTTTACGGTAGGTTTGCGGTAAAATGGTAAGAGTATAGTGACACTGCTTGGGAGCAACTTCTTGACATGAATTTATAAGTTTAAATTTTAATTTCTGCTTTTTTATTCTACTTAAAAATCAGTTAATGAAATACTTAAGATTCTGAGTTCATTCCCTGTTCCCCATCCCCCCTTTTCTTTGGACAAGGACTTCACTTGGACCAAGTAAAATTAATTTAACCAGGTATTTTTCAGTTCTTTTAAAATGGTTTCTCCTAAACCTGTAAATCACCTCTAGCTATGTTCTTTGTGATTCCCTGTAAATGCTTAGCACTGGGTCCATCAAGTTAGTCAGTGCTAAATCCATGCCAGCTGGTATAAAATACATTGTAATAGGGAGTACTCGCTACTTAGTATGCCAGCTGGTGTAAAATACATTGATTGTAATAAGAAGTCCTCACTACTTAGTGTATAACATTAGTGTGAGAACATTAGTGCGTATTTGCCTTGCTTACTTTCTGTTGTTGTCAAGATACACCGTCACCAAGGCAGCATATAAAAGAAGGCATTTAATTGGAGGCTTGCTAGTCTGTGATCATCATGGTGGGGGCTGTGGGGTCAGGCAGGCAGACAGGCAGGCATGGCCCTGGAGCAGCAGCTGATAGCTCACATATGGCCCACAAGCAGGAGACAGAGACAGGAACTGAACTTCTGAAACCGCAACGCCTACCTCCCCCCAACACCTTCTCTAGCAAAGCCACACCTCCTAATCCTTCCCAAACAGCCTACCAACTGCAACCAGATATTCAGATGCCAACCTAGGGGAGCCATTCTCATCCAAACCACCAAAGTATTTTACGCTAATTTCCATTTCCTATTTTTTCCTACAGAACATTATTTTAGAGACTAGAGACAAAATTGAGTTTTAGCTTTATAATAAAAGTTAATTTGTGGCCTATGTAAAAGTTAAGTTAACGTGTGGCATATCATCTAAAAGCCAGTGCCTTTGTCACTGGACAGAGTGAGGGAAGTTTAGACTGTACTAGTTGTGTGTTTTAATTTTTAAAATGTATTTTTATTTTATGTGATTTGGTGTTTTGCCTACGTGTATGCCAGTGTGAGGGTATCGAACTCTGAAACAGGAGTTCCAGACAGTTGTGAGCTGCCATGTGGATGCTGGGAGTTGAACTCAGGTCCGCTGGAAGAGCAGCCAGCGCTCTTAACTCTCCAGCCCCTGACTATAACTTCCCCCCACCGTTTTCTGGGGGTGCTCGTAACTGATGTAGTATTCTAGTTTATAGGAAAAATACAGTAAAGTCTCCCGGAGATCTTTCCCTACTGAAAGACTAGCTGTGAGCTCCACGAGGGACAGACAGACTCTCCTCTTCATGCTGGGCTCTCCCTTTGCTCTAGGGTATCCCTGCAGTGACGTTCCCACAACATGCTGTCCTGCAGCACACAGAGCCTGGAAAATAGCATTTAAATTAAAGTGTATGTCTGAGGATTATTCCCTCAAGCAGCATAGTTGAGAACTGAAATTTAAACATTTTTATAATAGAAAGGAAGCAATAGAGCATTCATTACTAGCCCATTAGGGTTTTTAAAAATTCATTTTACATACCAACCACAGTCCCATCCCATTCTCCACCCATCAAGCCAACTCATTTTGTAGAATTCCAAATGAGTACTCCAACCCTGAGGGACTTTTTTTTTTAAATTTATTTATTTATTTATTTGTTGTGTATACAATATTCTATCTGTGTGTATGCCTGCAGGCCAGAAGAGGGCATCAGACCCCATTACAGATGGTTGTGAGCCACCATGTGGTTGCTGGGAATTGAACTCAGGACCTTTGGAAGAGCAGGCAATGCTCTTAACCACTGAGCCATTTCTCCAGCCCGGGACTTTGAACAATAGGTAAAATATTGAGAAATGAAACAGTGCAAAAGAAGAAAGCCCTACAGTCCTAGATCATTCTTTGTTTCTTTTTTCTTTTCTTTTTCTTTTTGGTCACTCAATGTGTGAAGTGATTTGCTGTCACTTACTGTGCTAAGTGACAAGTTGTATGCTATGTTTTTTTAGACTTCAAGTTGTTTGCACAATATCACACATTCTCTGTCATACTGGGCAAGTGTGTTTTAGTAATGTTTTAAATGGCAATAAACACATTCATGTATTAGTGGTGATGATTTTAAGTTAACTTTGTAGTAAATGATAAGACTTGTGTGTTTTAGTAATGTTTTAAATGGCAGTAAACATATGCATGTATTAGTGGTGATGTTTTAAGTTAACTTTGTAGTAAATGATAAGACTTTCCACTTCACAGTGGCTGGCAGGAGAGAACCAGCTTCCAGAGGTTTCTCTCTGATCCCCACATGTGCACCATAACGTGTGAAAAACAAACAGCTTTCATTAACGTACTATTTACAAAATGAAAGCTGCTTTAGCTAGTAAATAAAATGAGAGCTGGACTTGTTCAGGGCTCCAGTGTGTGGCTCTCGGTCCTTAAGGAGCTACACTTGGTTATCAGTGTCCTCTAGAGGCAAATGCTGCTTCTCTGTGGCCAGCTGTGGCTCTGGCCCCCAGGTCTTTGTGATCTGCTACTATGTTGACTCAAGTTTGTCATCCACAAGGGCTACTTTTGATTTTTAGGAAACTGCGAAAGCCACATGCCTTTGTAAAATTCTCTTAATTGTTTAGTGCGGAGCAAAAGTGTGTAATGAACTCATTTGTATTTTCCTCACGTTGGATTCTTTCATTTTTTTTAAAACAAATTATTTATTTACTTACATTTTGTGGGTTTTTGTTGCTTGTTCTTGAGACAGGTTTCTTTGTGTCGCTCTTCTGGAACTCGCTCTGTAGCCCAGAGCCTCGCGGCCTCCCAAGCGCTGGGGTTAAAGGTGTGCGCCACCATGCCTGGCTGGATTCTTTTCTTTATTTACTTTATTTCATTTTCTTTTATTGAGAGCTTAGGAAAACTCAAAACAGAAAGATCAAATCAGATTTGATCTTGTCCTTAAGCCCTGGGCCAGTGAGACTAGTCTGAAGGCCACACGGTGAGGAGGCGCCTGCGCGCACTTAGCACTTAGATCCGTCTTGTCCGCGGTGCCGGCTGCTCTGTTGTCCTTCGCTTGCTCTTTTTTGAACCAGGAGCTGCTGACGCTGGAGTTGTTCCTGCCCCTACCTCCCAATTGCTGACGTTGCGGGTTTAGTCTCTTAACCTGTCTCCTCCGGGAATCGATCCCTCTTCCCATAAATCTTATGAATGATATTGTGAACACAGAAAAATGTATCATTGGAGGTGAATACTCAGGAAGGGAACAGACCCGCTGAGTTCAGAACTGAGAGGAGCTGAAGGTCTGTCTAAACCATTCGTTATGACTGCCCTGCTGGTCTCCTCAAACTCCGACGTGTTTATATATACAGTGTCAGAGACTGTTAGCGTGGTGTGTGTGTGCAGTGTGTGTGCGGTGTGTGTGTGTGCGCGCACGCGTGTGTACTGTGTGTGGAAGAGCCCGAGGAAGTCAGATGAGGGTGTCGGGTCCCTAGAGCTGCAGCTGCACAGTCTCGGGCTGCCATGTGGATGCTGGGAGTTGAACCCAGTGCTCTGAAGAGCAGCAAATGCCCTTAACCATCATGCATTCTCCAGCCCAACCCAGCATATGAACACCCAGGACACATTACCCTGAATTCAAACAAGATGTTTTACATATTTTAGCTCATGTTTAATGGTACATCTTTGTCTTCCTTTCGGTATTATGTTTGTGACATCCATCTTGTAGATAGCCATGTTCCTTTTTCTTATTGTTGGGTGGTATTCCATTGTACGTATGTATTGTAATTGTCCTAATTACAGTAAGTGGACATTTTAGTTGTTTTTACTTTGGTATGGTTATAATAGGAGCTCTGAGTATTTTGTTCATAAACTTGATGGGCATATGTGTTAAAGTATTCCTGTCATTTGAATATCAGGATCAAAAGCTGCACAGATATGTGGTTTTGATAGATGAATTACTGTTTTTTTTAAAACTCTTCTACCAGTTTGTTTTCACGTCAACAGTGGGCCATACTTTTGGTCACACTTAGTATTTTTTAGTAACCATTGTTGGGATTCAGCAGTATTATCTCCCTGTAGTTTAGTTTTCATTTTCCTGAGGACCTGTTAAATATGACTGTGTATATTTCAGTGCTGGTTTGGTAGACTGTTCTGCTCTTTCGCACAGATTTTCTTATCCTATCTAGTAACTTTAAAAATTGTATTGTAGATCAGATCTTTTTTGTTTTGTTTGCCGAGATAGGGTTTCTCTGTGTAATAGGCCTAACTGTCCTGGAACTAGCTCTGTAAACCCACAGAGATCCGCCTTCCTCAGCTTCCCCAGTGCTGGGATTAAAGGTGTGCGCCACCACTGCCTGGCTAGATGAGATCTTTGCTCAGCCAAATAACCCTTCTCAGTCAGTGTCTTGATTTATGACTAGAAGTTAAGTTTAATCTAGTGTATAATTCTTTCTCAGTAATGGTTAGTGCATTTTGTGTCCTATTTTAAAAAACCTTTGTCTACTCTAAAGATAATGACAATCTTTGGTGTTTTCTTTTGGAAACTTTTATTGTTATTCTTTCACATTTAAATCTGCAGCTCATCTCTGATTATACAGCAGGAGATAAAGATCAGGGTTCCTCCAGGTGTGGTGGGTGTGCCTGTGATGTAACTTGAGGAGGGGAGGCAGGAGATGCTGGGTGTCAGGATTAGCACGGGCTAGATAATGAAACCCTGTCTTTAAAAAGTCAGAACTCAAACAGGGTTGATGGTTTTCAGTGGGGTAGGCGTGCAAAGAGACACACACACACACACACACACACAATATAAAGATGCCCATGTCCCTGGTAGTTTTCAGTGGGGTAGGTGTGCAGACACAGCACACACACACACACACACAAGATACAAAGATGCCCATGTCCCTGATAGTTTTCAG